AGGGTTGTTGCTGAAGATGCTAGCTTTGTCTCAAGGGTAATTTAAACAATGCCCATTAAAGTCTCAGGTCTCAGAGGAAATGGGGGACCATGTGACCTCTCCTACACATCCCTGCCTGGCGGCTGGAGTGGTTCCTCCGTGTCCGAGGAGAAATGGGACACAAATATTTATGGGATGCTGCCATGACACATCAGCATATGAGCACCCTCACTCTAGCCCACTCACCGTTTCCGCTCATTTCGGCTGCCTCGGGTGAAATATCACAGCAATTATAAAAGTCAAGGTGCCGGGTGGGAGAGCTTTAGGAATGGCTCCAGCAAATTGCTTCCATTTTTCAGCTCACAGTGAGAAGAAAGGCAGAAACAGAGAGGTAAAAAAGAAAGCCAATGAGCATGCCTACTGCAGCCTGTATATCCTGCATATGTACATATATAAATATATTCAGCTTCCCTTTTGTGCCTTGGAGAGAAAAGAGCAGCAATCAGCAATTCAGGGACGATCAAATAGATTAAAGTGAACATCATATATGTCCCAGAGGAGCCAGCGATAACACCTTTATTCCTGCTTAGCTACCTTCTCCTCCACACTGTGAGGGAATATATTTTATTTAAAACATTTCTTTTACCTGGAGGTCCTGTCAACTAACGAACAGAATGAAAAGAAACTGAGAGTCTTCTTTGTGTGCCAAAAAATAAGCTAGTTGAGAAAATGTTATTTAAAAATACATATATATATCAGGAGAGAGCAAAGAAATGGCTTACATTTTTCCCCTTATAAAGTTGAACAGCATTTCTGCTTCCTTGTTGGCCTTCCTTTAGTATTTGGGAGACGTTTCCTCATCAAAAATCAACTCCCCACTAAAAATGGGCAATTTGCTTTTTAAAATCTCTTTTCAAAGATACATGAAGGCTTTTATTTGAAAACTTTGTTGTCATTACAACATTGGAATACCTTGACCTTATTTTTACTAGATAGCATAGATTTTGGAATGCATTTTATTGACAAGAGTCACGTAATGCAGCTTAATCTAATTTGACCCAATGTATTCTGATGTTTTCACTACAGCTGTCATGTTTTAAAATGTTAGCGAGGTTTTCTATAGATCCATTTAAGTCTAAGGTTTTTATTTATTTATTTATTTTTATTTTTTTGAGATAGAGTCTCGCTCTGTCTCCCAGGCTGGAGTGCAGTGGTGAGATCTTGGCTCGCTGCAAGCTCTGCCTCCCGGGTTCACACCATTTTCCTGCCTCAACCTCCTGAGTAGCTGGGACTACAGGTGCCCGCCACCACGCCCGGCTAATTTCTTTTTTTAAAGTAAAGACAGGGTTTCACTGTGTTAGCAAGGATGGTCTCAATCTCCTGACCTCGTGATCCACCCACCTTGGCCTCCCAACCTGCTGGGATTACAGGCGTGAGCCACCGCACCTGGCCAATTTGCTTTTTAAATAAGTCTGCATTTTAAAGATAAATACATATATGCCCCAAAAATATCTAAGTTGATTCTGCTTTATAGCTGAGATCTCCTCAATATCAATAGGGAACAGGGCAATAAAAGACCTTAATTTATCCTTCTAAAATTTTCTTTCAATTTCTGGATGTTAGAATATGGCAATAAACCATAACTGCAAATTTCATTATTTTAACTAGTCTTTACTGCTGGCTGTTGAAAGGATAAACACATAAACATCAAATTCCATTTTATAAAGATCACAAACGCTTTAAAAGAGAGAGTGTTACTTTATAAATAGAAAATTTGTGTTATTTTCCTCCAAATCTCTTAACCAAAATTGAGTCCCTCAAAGACAAACATCTAGCTGGGATTTTCATAAATGTTGTTTCTGATGCAAAGTCAGTGTGGCATTGCTAGAGGAAGGCTTATCACACATCACACACTTGTGCCTTTCAAGCAATCAACTTAAAACCAGTTTTTGAACAGATTGCCACCCGATTTTATAACAATTGTTTCTCCTGATTTATTTTCCTTACTCACAAAATGGGGGCTTGCACAGGGGGCGGTAGCTCTGACATCCTTGCCACTTCCCCTGTGAGTGCCCATCACGTGCCAGGTCAAACAGGAAGCCAATAAAGCACGCTTTTCCGTTGATGTGAAACCAAAGCGTAACGATTTCACGTCATCTGCCAAAAGTGAAGAAGATGTAGAAAGAAGATCTGAATCCAGCTCTGTCTGCCTCCAAATCCCATGAGTTCTGTGCTCCAAAGCCCATGGGCGGCTGCTGCCTCTTCCTCAATGCTGTGTCTGACATTGCTATGTTCTTCTACAATCCTTCATTCTTTATTTTTGGGTCTTCTCCATTGTACGCTGGCTAACTTTGTTTGGTCAGCCTTCTGTCTATTCCACAATCTCATGACTTCAAATGATCATCTTTTTGCTTTCGAGACAAAATGTCCCAAGGTGTTAGAACTCAGTGAATTAGATTTCCAGTTCTTATGCTTTGCTGGACCAGAGCATATCTCACAGGGCTTGGTGATTATCTGCTCCTCACCTGTGTTAGTGGAATCCACTGAACTAGAGAGGTCAGAGATGATGACTTCCCAACGTCATGTTCCCTATCATACCTACAATGCAAACATATTTGCCCTACAATGACAGTTGGCAGATGTTAGCACGGTCTCCAAAAATAACCAGGACATCCTACATGTTTAGAAGATGTTTCCATATTTCTTCATGCTTGAAAAAAGAAGCCCGTCCCTCCCTTCTGCAGGAGACTGCACTGTACGCTGGTCCTGCAGATGGATTTGCCAAAATACGCTTACACTAGCCTGATCAAGAACGTAAGAAATCAACGTCTTGGGAATATGATTTCTACTAATAGATACATAGCTACTATATTAGATTCCTAGGGCTGCTGTAACAAATGGCCACAAACTAAGTGGTTTAAAATAATAGAAACTTATTCCTTCACAGTGAAGGGGCCAGAAGTCTGGAATAAGGCAGGGCTGGTTTCTCCTGGAGGCTAGAGGAGAGAATTTGCGCCATGAGCTTCTGGTGGTTGCAGGCAACAGGTGGCATTTCTTGGCTTATAGATGCTTCACTTCAATCTCCGCCTCCATCTGCAGTGGCCTTCTTCATATGCTTCTCTGTAACCTCTCGTCGTTTTTGGGTTTTTTTTTTTTTTTTTTTGAGACGGAATTTTGCTCTGTCTCCGAGGCTGGAGTGCAGTGGCGTTATCTCACTGCAACCTCTGCCTCCCAGGTTCAAGTGATTCTGCTGCCTCAGCCTACCGAGTAGCTGGGATTACAGGTGTGTGCCAGCATGCTGAGCTAATTTTTATATTTTTAGTAGAGACAGGATTTCGCCATTTTGGTCAGGCTGGTTTCAAACTCCTGACCTCAGGTAATCCACCCACTTCAGACTCCCGAAGTGCTGGGATTACAGTCATGAGCCACTATGGCAGGCCTCTCTCTTCTTTTTAAAAGGACACCAGTAATTGGATTTAGGACACAGCCTAAATCCAGGATGATCTCATCTCTAGATCTATAATTTAATTACATCTGAAATGTCCTTATTTTCATACAGGTCACATTCTAGGGTTCCAAGTGGACATAAATTTTGGGGGACACTACTGAACCAACGGCATAAGCGCATACATATACATTATATATTCCTGTGATCATAGACATGTAAAGAATAAAAATCCTATTTTTGTCCTTTGTTGCTTTTTTAAGGGACCCTGCTAGCATGGCAAAAGAAAACTTCTCACATACATAAAATTCAAGAAAAAATTTTAGCGATTACATTTTAATGTATTTGATTTTATGTAGTGTTACTTTATTTCTTGCTACACTATTTTCAGAATCTTATTTGGAATAAAACAAATTAAACTAAAAAAGGGTAAAGAATAAATGGATGGCTCTGCTCATTGACTAAATTCTAAAATAGTCTTAATAAGATAACACTCATTAATTTGAATAACACTTTTTACTACTTGAAGCATACACAAATTTGAAAATTGCTTTAAAAATAGTTCAATGTGCTGGGCGCGGTGGCTCACGCCTGTAATCCCAGCACTTTGGGAGACCGAGGCGGGCAGATCACGAGGTCTGGAGATCGAGACCATCCTGGCTCACCCGGTGAAACCCCGTCTCTACTAAAAATACAAAAAATTAGCCAGGCGTGGTGTTGGGCGCCTGTAGTTCCAGCTACTCAGGAGGCTGAGACAGGAGAATGGAGTGAGCTCGGGAGGCAGAGCTGACAGTGAGCCAAGATTGCGCCACTGCACTCTAGCCTGGTCGACAGAGCGAGACTCCTCCTCAAAACAACAACAACAACAAAAGTTCAATGTGCTACCGATCATTTACTAATATAGAATTTGCGTATGAAATATGGGCTGTGCCAATTGCTATACATGTACACTGGAAGTTACTAACAACCCATGCTTTTGTGAGATGTTTTTAGAACGATGGTTCTCAAATGGGAGTAATTTCATACCCCAGGAGACATTCAGCAATGTCTAAACACATTTTTTGGTTTCACAACCTGTGGGGGAAAGGTGTGTGCTAGGGCCACGTAGTGTGTAGAGGCCAGGGATGCTGTTCAACATTTTACACTGTGCAAGACAACCCCACCGCGAAGAGCTGCATGACCTGGAATGTCAAGAGCTCTGAGGGTGAGAAATCCTATCTTAGGTCTGTACTGAAGCATTTTCACTCCTCCAGCCTTCCTCTCATTCCTCTTATGACCAGTGATATCCACTGTTGAATCACTAGCTTGAATCAAAGTACGAACTGCTCCGAATAACTGCACCTAACACTTAAGCTTTATTTCCACCATGAGTTTAGCTGGTTTTTATCCAAAATCAAAATGCAAATGCACAGGACATACACTAATCATTATTTTTAAATGACCAGAACACCTGGTATGTAGAGTAGGCAAGATTTTCCTTCTCTCCCAAGTGTCTCCTAGGAATTCTAAGGAAAATCATATTATATGCATGCTCAGGTATTAAACAGATCCTTATGCCTCATACGTCTACCCTCACTCCCTTCCTCCATCCCATGTTTTAGAATGGTGATTAACAGCTTGCACTTTGGAGTCCCAAAATCTAATTTGACTCGGATCCACTCCTTTCTACCTGTTTGTCCTTTGACAAATGACATCATTTGACATAATGACATCATTTGACTCATAAGGACAGCAATACTACTTACTGTAAACATTAGAATTTGTTATATTTATTTTCATTTTGCTCATAGACAATATGCTGAATCCTGCTCTTTAAGGATGCTAACATGCTTTCGTGTGTGTGTGTGTGTGTGTGTGTGTAATTACATTTGACACCTTCCCAACAACCTTGTGAATCAGGTAGGTAAAGAACTGATACTTGTATTGTGTCAATAAGGAAACTGGGGCTCATGGAATTAAATTGACCTGTCCCAGATTGCCCAGGCAACCCAGAACCTCTGCTTTCCAACTCCTACTCCAGAACTTGCCCTTGACCCAGATGCTCTTGAGTATTGCTGGGCTGGAAAACTACGTGATGTAAGGCAGTGATTTATTCAATTCATATCTGAAATCCTATGTCTGGCCAATAAACTAAGACGCATCAGGCTCAAGTGAATTCATGTCCATTTGGAAACTGTTTACCCAACAGAGCTAGAAGTTTAAAAATATTGGAAGATAGAGTATCCTTCTGTCATCTAATCACTGTTTTACACTTCATGATGCATGTGAGTAACGAGCTGGACGACTTCAGCTGCTGCTTTGATCATTTTTTCTTTTGTGGCTTCCACCTTATAATAAGCCTGCCTCTGAGACAGGTATTATTAATTGCATATTGTTTTGTGTTTCTAATGTTTCATTTCACTGACTCCTCTTTCTCTTCCCCTCTTGGTTTTAAGATCCCTGCTGTTTTTAATATTTAACCATTTCTTCACAGGCATCTTTTTAATCCAGCTTAACTTTGGACATGAATTGAAGTTGACCAAATTGCTTGCTACAGTCCTGTCAGCATTTCTGCATTCAGAACTGTTTGTTGACTCAGTTGCAGTGATATAGATTTTCCCACACAGTCTATTTGACATTTGCAAGTCCAGTCTGCACCAACTTCTATTGTATTAAGCAAATAACCATACTGCACTGAAATTCCACTCATTGTTAACTCTAAAGCAACAGGATTTTCTCCAGTTCACCAACAGTCAAACCTATTGTTATCATAAAACCCTCTCCAGATGAAAACTGAAAAGAATCATATGACCCAGAAAAAAGATTAGCCTTCAGGAAGTCTTTGGGTTTTGCCATTTTTGTCAAAATATCCCCAGAGGCAGTGGAAAATAATAAAGTAAAACCTATTTTTGGAATAAAGCCCATTTCAAAATAGAGTCTACAGACTTTCAAATTTGCAAGACAGGACTTCTCAAAATGAAAGGCACAAAACTGGGCTATGGTAAACCCAAAGGGACCAGAAGCAATTCAAAACAAGGGATTTAGTAACTTTTAATTGCCTCATTTTCAATTCAAAAGGGAGTGTAAGTATTGATATTATGCTATAGCTCAATTGCACAGACCAATCAGCTAGTTTGCTGTGACACAGGAATCCTCAGAGATTCGTCATTACCCAGGATTTCTGTCATTTCAGATGAATTTTCCACCTTGTTGGAAACAACACGCTGTACTTCCCCAATCTTCTTTTTCTATGCTTCTATCTGGGGAGACTGATTTAAATTATAGTGTTCCAAATAAAGTCTGAGTAGGAAACAAACCCAGTATTTTTTATATACGAAAAGGCAGGGTGTAAAAAGCTTTTTCTAAGGACACAAGGTATTTGTTTACCAGAAGGAACACAAAGGTTTACGTCTCAAGATTGGAACGTAGGCAAAACCGTAAAACCTGAATTATAAAAAAGTAGAAAATAGTGAATAAAAATAGCTAATAAATTGCCAAGATTTATGTCCCAGTACCAGCTGCTGGGATTCCAAACCAGTTCCAGAGATGCTGGGGTTCTCAGGACACTACTTCAATTAGAGAGCTGTATGGAAACAGGATCGAGTGTGCACCCTTCTGGTCCACAACATCTCCTGAGGCTTCATGGATAGAGCAGGCGGCAGCACTAACATTCTTCACTTCGAATCATTAAGAATAACCAAATATTCCATATTGGTCTGTTTGTATATTAGCTATCTGTGATTGCATAATAAATTACCACAAAATTTAGTGGCATAAATCAGTAACAACCATTCATTACCCTACTGTGATATCCAGCTTCCAGGATGGCTTACAGAGATTCCCACTTCCTAGTTTTCACACCCTTCTGCAGTCCACACTTACGTTGACTATGACTGACATGTGCAGCCAGTTAGATTATATGGAAAAGACAACACGTGACTCCCAACGTTAGGTCATAAAAGACGTCATTGTTTCCATATTTTCCCCTCTCTTGGATTCCTTCTCCTGGGAGAAACTGGCTACCATATTGTGAGACACTCCAGCAGCCTGAAGAGGGATCCGTAGGGAGAAATCAAGTTTTCCTGCCACTAGTCAGTGAGGAACTGAGGTCTCCTTAACATCCACATGAGGGAGCCATCTTGGAAGCAGATCACCCAGTTCCAGTCAAGCCTTCAGGTGACCACAGCCCCAACCAATATCTTAACTGCGATATCAGACACCTTAGCCAGTAACACCCAGTTAACCCCCTCATAAATTCCTGTTTCACAGACACTAGGGGGAAAGTGTTTATTTCTTTAAGCCACTACATTTTGGAATAATTGGGTATGCATCAATGAATAACTACTATAGTAGCCTGCATATTTGGGAGTGGCTTATCTGAATGGTTCTGATCCAGGGTTTTTTGCAAGGTTGGCAAAGCTGCAGTTTTTTGAAGACCTAACCATCTGATGGATCTGTTTTTACTATGTCTCACTTATATGGCTGGCAAGTTGGTGTTGGCTGTTGATGGGAAGCCTCAGTTTCTCTTCCTGTCATCTCTGTGCAGTCAGCTTTGGTGCCTTCACAATGTGCAGGCTGGCTTTTCCCAGGGTAACTGAGCTGAGAAAGAGATCAAGAAGGAATTAGTACAGCCTTTTAGGACTGTGGTGGTTAATTTTGTGGCAACTTGACTGGGCTAAAGAATGCCTAGATAACTGGAAAGACATGATTTCTGGATGGGTGTGTGAGGGTGCTTGCAGAAAAGATTAGCATTTAAATTAGTAGACTAAATAAGAAAGACCCATCCTCACCAACGTGGTGGCCAGGCATCAACTAATCCATTTGTGGCCCAAATAGGAAAAACAACAGCAGAAAGGGTGAATTTGTTCTATTTGAACTGGGACATGCATGTTCTTCTGCCTTCAAACATCAGCAATCTTGGTCCTCAGACCTTTGGACCTGGCCTGAATTACCACTGGATTTCCTGATTCTTCAGCCAGAATACTGCAAGTCGTGGAACTCCTTTGCTTCCATAATCACATGAGCTGGTTTTCATAATGATTTTCCCTCTCTCTCCAGATAGATAGATAAAGAGATAGATAGAAAGATACAGATAGATATATGTATAGATCTGTCTCTCCAAATATATGTATCTGAGTGTTTGTATATACATGTATGTTATATAGACACATATACATAAAATATATATATACACATATATAATATATATAACACATTATTTGTTCTGTTTCTCTAGAGATCCTTGACTTATATAGATTTTGTTACTGAAAGTAGTTCTAGGGAAACAGTTTTAAGGATGAGTTTTATGAATTGGTTTTGTGGTGTCTAATTGGCTCTTGTAATCTGACCTGATTTCAAGTTGCTAAGGACTCTTTAAAGTAGTAAAGAGAGCATGATAGTTCATGCTGTAAACTTTATAAAGATATCCAAAATATCTAATATCTGCACTGGATATCACTAATCAACCACTTGGAAAAAGCAGAGTGAAGTGACTTTATATAACAATTTTGAACATTTTTTGAAAATGACACAATTCAATGGCATTGTTTGCTTATTCCTAACATCACTGAGCAAATGGGGGAAAAAAAAAGTATGAGTTCAGGAATTCAAATTTCCACCTCAAGCACCACATAAATGACCTAAGAACTTCCAGATGTTTCTTGAAGGAGATCCTTATCTTCTGTTACTACAGGGTTGAAATTACTGAAAATCAAACTCAGAATCTTATCCTGTGATTGGCTGGATTACAACACAAGTTGAACTCCCAGCCTTAAAGTAGGGTGTCTACTGTTAAAGTGAGAACATTGACTAGGAAAGAATGAAAGAATGAGATCCTGTAAGTTGAGATGAAGATGTGTAAGGAGAACATAATGAAACTGGGAACACTGAGCCCCTAAAAATTTTTTTTTTTTTTTGGAGAGTCTCACTCTGTCACCCAGGCTGGAGTGAAGTGGCACAGTCTCGGCTCACTGCAGCCTCTGCTTCTTGGGTTCAAGCGATTATCCCACCTCAGCCTCCCAAGTAGCTGGAACTACAGGTGTGCACCACCACATCAGGCTAATTTCTGTATTTTCAGTAGAGATGGGATTTTGCCATGTTGGCCAGGCTGGTCTTGAACTCCTGACCTCAAGTAATCTGCCTGCCTTGGTCTCCCAAAGTGCTGGAATTACAGGCATGAGCTATGGTGCCCTGCCTGAGCCCCTAAATTCTGATGAGTCTTCTTTGCCAGTGGACGAGGTCTCCCTACTCACAGTGGTAGAGGCTTCTCCATTCACAAGGGCTTGGCCTTTCTACTTCCCTTTGAGGACAGTAATTTTGTATTGCCTGAGGAAACGGTAATGTCCTCCCCCGAGGCAGTTGCCCTGCAAGACAGTACTGATACTCTTCATGACCTACGCTCATCACCCCTGGTTGCTTCTAGACACATAACCAGGCTCAAGTCCCAGAAGATCCCTAAAGGTGAGGCGAAAAGTGTAATTCATGGGGAGGTGCACTACACTCCAAAAGAACTTACTTGAATTTTCTAATTTTTATAAGTAGAAATTTATGGGACGTGTGTGAAAATGGATATTAATACAGTAGAATAATATTGGGAGGAACATACATTTGGATCAGGTCAAACTTATTAATATGTACTCAATAAGAAGACATTTTACATTAAATGTTGCAACTCAAGGAGTTAGAAACAGCTCTTAGAGTTTGGCTGGTTGGTTGGTTGGAACATGGAACAAAAGACAACCTACAGTGAACACATTGCAAACATGCACCCTCTCTTGGTTTAATATAGGAAAGGGATTCAAAGATTTAGGGATATTGGAATGTAGAGTGGATTTGTCATTTGAGACTTAGACCCCCAGGGAGGGTCCAGAGGACACTACTTTCACCAATTCTTTGAGAAATAAATTTGTGAGGGGAGCCCCAGCAAGTTCTCTATAGGCGAGACCTGACAGTGGGAACTACAGACCTTGATTAGAAAATGTAAATGCAATGGGAGTAATTGGAACCTAGGAGGGCAAGGCTAAGGGGAAGACTCAGTTGCCAGTGCCAAGGTGGGCAGTGGCTACCATAATGGACAGCAAAGTTAAAGCAGCAAACAGAGCAGTCAGATCTGTGCAGATATGTGGTGTTGGCTAGTTCATCATGGTGATGCTAGAGATGAAATAGATGGAAATCATACCCAAATTTTACTTGATCTGTATAAGGAGACAAATTCTAGATGAACTGAACAAAAGCCTAACTCAAATCATAAAAACAGAGAATCACAGCCCCTGCATCAAGTCTCAGAATCAAGCCAGTTTGCAGACCCAGAACCGCTTTAATAAAGCAAAGGCTAGGTCCCTTGAGGAAGAGCCTTGGGACTGTACATTTTCCTCCCAGCCTTCCCCACAGAAACCTCCAGCCTTTTAAAAAGGTAACTGTGTGTGGGAAAAAGGAAAATGTCAGAACTTTGGGGGACTTCTGGACACTGGCTCTGAACTGTTAACTGATTTCAGAAGAGCCCAAAACATCACTGTGGCCCTCCAGTCACAGTAGGGGTTAGTGGTGATCAGTTACTTTTAGCTCAGGTTCATTTCACGGTGGGTCCAGTGGATCCCTGAGCCCATCCAGTCATTATTTCCCCAGTTCCAGAATTGATCATTGGGATAGACATACTCCGAAGCTGGCAGAATCCCCACACTGGTCCTCTGACCTGTTGACTTAGGGGTATTATGGTGGGAATGGCCAAGTGAAAGTCAGTATGACTGCCTCCACCTGCAAAAAGAGTAAATAAAAAACAGTACCCTGGAGGGATTGCAGAGATTAGTGCCACCATCAAGGACTTGAAAAATGCAAGTGTGGTGATTCCCATCACGTCTCCATCTAGCTGTCCTATCTGTCCTATGCAGAAGACAGTGAATTTCTACGTGCTCACCCAAGTGGTGACTCCTATAGGAGTTGTTGTATCAGACGTGATTGTATTGCACGAGCAAATTAACATATCCTCTGGTACCTGGTATGTAGCTATTGATTTGGAAAATGCCCTCTTTTCCCATCTTTGTCCATGAGGTCCACCAGAACAGTTTGCTTTCAGCTGGCAAGGGCAGCAATACTCCTTCACCATCCTACCTCAGGAATGCATCACCTTTCCAACCCTAGGTCATAACTGAATCCACAGAGATCTTGACTGCCTATCCCTTCTGCAAGTTACCATGCTGGTCTATTACATTGATAATATTATGCCTATTGCACCTTGTGCGTGAGAAGTAGTAACTACTTTAGACTTACAGGTAAGACATTTGAGCATTAGATAGTGGGGAAAAATCCAGTGATAATTCAGGAATGTTCCAGCTCAGTAAAATTTTTAGGGGTCTTGTGATGTACAGCATGTCAAAATGTCCCTTCTAAAGTGAAGGAAAAGTTGTTGAATCTGGCCCCTCCTATAACTCAGAAAGAAGCACAATGTCTAGTCGGCTTATTTGGATCTTGGAGGTGATGTATTACTCATTTGGGTGTCTCTCTCATCCGTTTACCAAGTGACCCAAAAAGCTGCTAGTTTTGAGCAGAGCCCAGAACAAAAGAAGGTTCTGTGACGGGCCCAGGCTGCTGTGCAAGCTGCTCTGCCATTTGGATCCTATTATCCAGCAGATCCAATGGTGCTTGAAATGTCAGTGGCAGAAAGGGATGCTCTTTGGAGCAGTGCAGGCCTTTAGCATTTTGGAGGAAGGCCTTGCCATCATCAGCAGATAACTACTTTCTTTTCCAGAGAGAGCTTTTGGCCTGCTACTTGATCATAGTAGAATTGGAACACTTGACCACAGTCCATCAAATTAACCTGTAACATGAGCTGCTTTCCATGAACTGAATGTTATCTGACCCATCAAACCATAAAGTTGGACATGCATAGCAACACTATATCATCAGATGGAAGTGGTATACACATGATCGCGAGCCAAGCATACCTTGAAGGCACAAGCAATTTACGTGAATAAGTAGTTGGAATGCCCATGGTCCCACTCTTGCTACACTGCCCTTTCTCTCCCAGTCTGCATATATGGCCTCATAGGGAGTTCCCTACAATTAGTTGAAAGAGGAAGACAAATTCAGACCTGATTGAGAGACGGTCAACCTGCAGGCACCACCCAGAAGTGGGTAACTGTAGCACTCAGCCACTCTCCAGGACATCCCTCAAAAACAGCAGTGAGGAAAATCCTCCCAGCAGGCACAACTTTGGCAAGTGTGCTTGGTTGTGAACTTTGCTTGGAAGGAGAAATGGCAAAATGTGAAAAATGACCAGTGGATCCTAGATGCAATGGCTACAGCCTCTGAATTGGGTATTAATGGGCTGTGGCTGGTGTTTGACAGAATGGTCAGAAACTTGAAAGAAAGATGATGGGAAAACTGATGTCAAGTAAATATGGGGAAGAAGTGTATGGAGAGATTTCTCTTAAAAGGCAAAAAATGTGAAGCTATTTGTGTCCCATGTGAATGCTCATCAAACGGTAACCTCACGAGAGAAGAATTTTAATAAAGTGGATAGGATGACCTTTCTGTGTATGTCAGTCAGCCCCTTTCCCACCTCTGTTATTGTCTGATAGGTTCATGAGGAAAATGGCCATGGCAGCGGAGATGAGCTATGCCAGGGCTCAGCACTACATACTTCTACTCTCCAAGGCTGACCCAACTATGGCCACTGCTGGGTGGTCTTTGCTAGCAGAAGAGACCAACACTGAGGCCCCAAACAGCACCTTTCCTCAGGGTAACCAACCAACTACCTGGTGGCAGGCTGATTACATTGGACCACTTCCATCATGGAAAAAGCAGTACTTTGTCCTTACTAGAAAAGATGCTCACTCTAGATATAAATTTGCCTGTACTATATGCAATGCTTCTGCTAAAACTACCATCCATGAATTTACAGAAAGGCTTATTATTCAGCATTATGGTACTACACACAATGTGGCTTCTGATCAAGGAACTCACTTGCAGAGAAGTGCAGCAATGGGCCCATGCTCATGGAATTATTCACTGGTTATAGTACGCTTCTCACTATCATGAAGTTGCTGGCATGGTAGAATGGCAGAATGGCCTTCTGAGGAATCAGTTACAGTGCCAGCCAGGTGGCAATATCTTTCAGGGCTGGGACAATGTTCTCCAGAGGCTATATATACTCTGAGTCAGTGTTTAATATGTGGTACCATTTCTCTGATAGCTAGGATTCATGGGTCCAGGAATCAAGGGATGGAAATGGGTGTGGCTCCACTCACTATTCCCCACTAGAGACCCACTAGCAAATTTTTGCCCCATTTCCTGTGAATTTATGCCTTGTTGGCCTAGACATCTTTTTTTTTTTTTTTTTTTTTTTTTTCCTGAAATGGAGTCTCACTCTGTCACCCAGGCTGGGGTGTAGTGGTGCAATCTCTGCTCATTGCAATCTTTGCCTCTCAGGCTCAAGCGATTCTCATGCCTCAGCCTCCCAAGTAGCTGGGATTACAGGCACATATCACCATGTCTGGCTAATTTTTGTATCTTTAGTAGAGATGGGGTTTTACTATGTTGGCCAGAATGGTCTCAAACTCCTGACCTCAGGTGATCCACCCGCCTCAGCCTCCCAAAGTGCTGGGATTACAGGCATGAGCCACTGGCACCTGGCTAGACATCTAAATTCCAGGGGGAGAAATGTTTCCACCAGGAGACAAACAATGATGCTATTGGATTAAAAGTGAAGATGGCCACCAGGCCACTCTGGGCTCCTTATGCTTCTGAGTCAACAGGCCAAGGAGGAAGTTACAATGCTGGTTGGGGTGATTGATCCAGACTGCCAAAGGGAAAGGTGACTGCTGTTCCACAACGGAGGTAAGGAAGAGTGTGTCTGAGATACAGGAGATTCCTTAGGAAATCTCTTAGTACTGCCATGTCCTGATTAAGGTCGATGGAAAATTACAACAAACCAATCAGGCATACCAACTAATAGACCAGACGCCCTAGGAATAACAACTGGAGTCACCCCATCAGGTAAAAACCAACTGAGGTGCTTGCTGAAAGCAAAGAGAATATAGAATGGGTAGTATTAAATAGAAGAAGGTAGTTATCAACATGAACTGTAATCACATGACCAGTTACAGAATTAAGAACTGTAATTTTCATGAGAATTTCTTCCTTTATTGTTATAAATATGCCTGTGTATATATATGCATATATTAAGCAAATATCTGTTTTTTTTAATCTCTTATGCCCTTATATAATGTTAGATGTATTGATTTTACAACAATATTCAAGCATTGTTAGTTCTACATCATAGTATTTAAGTTACAGAATATCAAGAGAAGAGTACACATCTCTCAAGGACTTTACTTTCTCTTTTGAGGGAGGGATAATTGTGTATTTTCAATCATACACAGGATAACTGCATCATGTTAGCTAGAATTATGATGTTATTGTCTTTATTTGGAGATTAAATGCGGTTTTATTATATGATAAACTAAGGAGATGTGTTTGAGTGCAAAGTTGGCAAGGGGTGGATATGTGATGGTTAATTTTATGTGTCAACTTGACTGGGTTAAGGGATGCTCAGGTAGCTGGCAAAACATTATTTTTGGGTCTATCTGTGAGAGTGTTTCCAGAAGAGATTATACACACACACACACACACACGTATATGTATGTATATGTGTATATATATAATTATATATGTGATATAATTCTATGTATAGGCACCTATATCTATGAACACATGCACATATATATCTCCTATTGATCCTGTTTTTCTGGAGAAGCCTAATACAATAACCTAGTGTCAAAAGATGCACATTGTTATTTCTATGACATTCTATTCATTAAAAGTAAGTTTCTGAGACATATTTTAGGTGAGGGGATTTAGATTCTACCTTTTGAAAAGAAGAATATCAAAGAATTTTTGTACATACTATAAGACCACCAGAGTTCACCCTCTGGCTACAAATTATTAACCTTCCTCTTGCATGCCAAATATATATATTCCCTTCAAAATTCCCCCCAAATCTTACTTATTACAGCTCAGACTCAAGTTCAAGGATTTGGGTATCTAAATCAAATCCTGCTTTAAGTGAAAGTCCTTAAATGTGGTTTCTTGAGTACAGATCCTTCCTAACTGAAGACTTGTCAGCTAGAGAGAAATTGTCTGTATCATACACCTATATATAATGATGAGACAAGCCTGAGATAACCTGTGTAAATACTTTCAAAAATGGGTACAGCAAGGAGACACACAGGAATCACTGGTCCATAGCAATTATGAAATCTAGCAGGACACATATCAGCATTTCTTTGATCAGGAGTCAAGGCCTGAGAATAATTCTTCGTAACTCTTCGCTCTGTCCTCTAAGTTCTTCACCTGAGTCATTTCTTCTTTTCCATGGAATATAGCTTGTGTTTTTCGCAGAATAGTATTCTTAGCCTGCTCCTTACCTGTAGAAACTTTGAATTTCAAAGTCTTCTTTTTAAATTGTACAGTTCCTGCACCTTGCAGTTCAAGCAATGTTTTTGTTAATAAAATTATCTTAAAAACTTTGTGAGTCTCCTGTGATTCCTGTTGGTATTCACTCCATTAGAAAAAGCCACACACACAAATGTGGAATTAGCCCTTCTCTGTCTTTGGCTTCTACTGCATGTGGTGAGGGACAATACTTTTTTTTTTTTTTTTTGAGACGGAGTCTCGCTCTGTAGCCCAGGCTGGAGTGCAGTGGCCGGATCTCAGCTCACTGCAAGCTCCGCCTCCCGGGTTCACGCCATTCTCCGGCCTCAGCCTCCCGAGTAGCCAGCCAGGACTACAGGCGCCCGCCACCTCGCCCGGCTAGTTTTTTGTATTTCTTAGTAGAGACGGGGTTTCACCATGTTCGCCAGGATGGTCTCGATCTCCTGACCTCATGATCCGCCCATCTCGGCCTCCCAAAGTGCTGGGATTACAGGCTTGAGCCACTGCACCCGGCCAGGACAATACTTTTTAAGCTTCTCAGAGGTGTCACTGTTTGAATGGTTGTCTGAGGTACACATTAGATATTTCCAAGCTCTTAACAAAAGGTTTACAGCCACACCCTCAACTGCTTCTTCTTACCATGTTTTGTTGACAGCAGTCTAGATTTGATCTTTGTCCTGGAGCCATTTTTAACTTTAGCATCATTTTACTATCTAGGAAGTCTAGTATTTTTTAAAGTAGCAATTTTCATCTCTCTTATGCTTCATAGACCTTTTAGTTTGTATCTCTTCTTTTCCATCTTACTATAAACAACAAGTAAAAGCTATGTGATGCCTTCTGCAGTCTGTCTGGAAATGTTATTAGCTAGATCTGACAGTTCCTTGGGTACACTTTGTACTTCAACAACACTTTCACCAGTTGACCAACTGGGGCAGGTATCCAGGAGAAGTCGAGTGCTTGTTTACCTGGCCAGTGTCCTGGTCTCACAAGCACTAAGTATGCTTATCTATCAAAGAAGGGAAATGGCCACTAAAAATGCATGAAATAAAGTGATTTCCATGGCTGGAGAAGTGGGTGAGGTGGGTATGGTTTCTGAGGTCAATACTTAAAATTCTCTGTAATACCAACTAGTTTAAACATTGTGCTTTACAATTTCCAAAGCACTTTCACATGCATTTCTATGTGACTGTGCAGTATTTCTTTTGAGACAGTCATTGTGGATTACTGAATAATTGGATATTTTGGTAGGTACTTGTTTGCATGAGTCAGAAGCAAAGTTAGAGCTGATTAACATTCTATGAAATATTCTCAATAAACGTGAACATTGGAAAACAGAAAAATTGAGCAATACGCATATACATTTAATAAATGATACCTATTTCAATTCAATACGTTGGTATTAGATTCAGTCATTCAGTGTTGTTTTCAAAGCTCTGACCTCTCACGGAGAAGGCGGCAGTATATATAGCTCTCTATAATGCAAAGCAAAATATCTTCATATACACAACAGAGAAACTAACTAGTTTTACTGAAGTTCACTTAAAACATGAAGGAGAAAACTCCAGAATTAAACTCATTTTCCCACCATTTTTTCTAGTTTTTCCCCAAGGTATTTGTTTAATGATTAATGGCGGAGGAGTGGGATGTTATACCCCATGCGTGCTCAGGGAAAGAGCAATGCAGCTAAAATAAGCAGATGAATGAAAAGGTAAGAATTAGACCAGCCTGCAAGGCAGGCTACAGTTTCACGGGCAAAAAAAGTCTAAAACATGAGGGGAAAAAAAAAAAAGATGAGTTTAAAGAATGTAACTAAACACAGGATATGATACAGCCTACTGTACAGTGATTACAAATGAGATGATAAATGGGAGAATTGCCCATTTATTTTTTCAATGACTGTTTTAATGCACTCTGGTCAAAATGTAGAGTGATAAATAAAACACAAAATCTAGGAATAAAAAAGGAAGGGACATAAATTATTCTTATTTCTAAACATTGTCATTAGTTTTTAAATTGAAATTATATACAAATCATTCATGTGGTGTTTACAATGTCAGGAAAAAAATATCTTCTCTGCATCTGCTACATCACATTCAAGTCCACTGTGTTGACATCAGAGAAATAAGACTTTGCAATGGGTGAAATTCAAACTTTTAAATCTCTAGAAAAATTGAAATTCAGATTTTGAAGTTAATTTCTTTCATTTCATAAGATGGATTTTTTGTGTGTGTTTTTTTCACATAAATGTAACAGTTCTATGGAAAGAAAAATAGTGAACAAGAAACTAGATGGTGTTCACCTTGCTTCTCATGTAACTAGTGCCCTGCGGTAATCTGGGTGAGCTATGTCTGCACAAACACATATTTCTCCCTGAAAACAGGAAGAAAATTAGCAAGAAAATTAAACATATCTTATTTCCTGACCTCTGCTCTGTGTTGATTACTGAAAGAAAGGAGACTTTAAGAACATAAGATACGGCCAGGCGCGGTGGCTCATGCCTGTAATCCAGCACTTTGGGAGGCTGAGGTGGATGGATCACCTGGGGTCAGGAGTTCGAGATCAGCCTGGCCAACATGGTGAAACCCCGTGTCTACTAAAAATATAAAAATTAGCCTGGCGCGGTGGCGGGTGCTTGTAGTCCCAGCTACTCGGGAGGCTGAGGCAGGAGAATCACTTGAACCCGGGGGGCGGAGCTTGCAGTGAGCCGAGATCGCACCACTGCACCCCAGCCTGGGCAACAGAGCGAGACTCCATCTCAAAAACAAACAAACAAACAAAACAAGATAAAAATATAGGATCCCTTTTTCTTCCCTTACAGGACTTCCCAGCGAGGGGAAAAGGAGACAAAGGGCACACTTGCCTTGGAAGCTGCCCACGGCTTCCCCTTCTCCATCCTGGGGGACTGTTTACTTCTCTCTGATAGAGCTGTTTCTCTGTGGATTACATCAACATTTTGTGCTCCATCTCAGTAGTTTCCTCGGGCAGCACAGAAAGATGCTGAGTTATTGTGCTCACTAAATCATGACGCTCACACCCTGGACACTCTGTGTGAAGGCAAGAGGCACCCTGGGAGCCAGTGCAGCAGTTAGCTAACTTCTTTGGGGGTAATCACCGCTTTCCAGAAGAGAATGGAAGAGAAAACATCTAACAGCCACTGAGCCACCTGTGCTCCACCCCTAACCTGCTGCTAGAGTGACATTTTTTGAGGACAACAGTCGGCCACACTCCACGGTCCTGCATCTGGGAATGGATCCAGGCATCTAGGCTGCAAGAGCCTCTGAGCCTCAGCATCCTTGCCTCATACACCTGTGATGTGCGTTCTTCCACTGACAAAAACAGATGGCGGTGTTTCAAGCCATCGCCTCCAGCGGAAAGGTAGATGTGAACGCAGATGAGAAAAAGAGCCTGGAGAAAACTGCAGGAGTGAGAGGAGCCATTTGCGCTCAAAGTGAAATATGAGTGAAAACAGGTTCACACTGGAAATGTTCTGCAGATCAGTTAGTATGAAGAAGCAATAATTATAGAATATGTATTGCAAATATTTTCAGTGCAAAAAAAAAAAAGAACAACAATACTGTTTCCTTTCTGAAACGTGTCACACTGAAAGCTACTACATATCAGGATCACCTCACTCAAACATAGACTCTCAGGATTCAACTATTTAATCTGGACTCGAGTTTTCCCCCAAAATTCTTTTCACCATCTAGCTGCACAGTACAGAGCACATGAAAACATTAAACCTACAATTACATTGATAAACCGACCTTCAGGAGGCATCCCCTATACCTTAGCTATGGAGATTAGAGTATTTTTTAATTTATTAGATTGTAAAAATCTAATAACTTACAGAACAGAAATCATGCTTAAAGTTTACTTCAATAGAAAAAGCAGAACATGGAATTGCTGGATTATATGTTAGCACCAGTGTACACATATGTCCAAACTCACCAAATTGTATACATTATGTGCAGTTTTTAATAGCAATTACACCTCCATAAAATCAGAGAAAAAAGAAAAAGGCAGAATGTGAAGAAAAAGGGGGGAAATGAAATGACTTAAATATATTTCCTGTAAAAATTGCAGTATCTTATGACATAACCAAATATTTGCTGTGACTTAGTCTGAGGCTTTGAAATGGATAAGGGCATGGTTAGTGCTATTCTGGTGCTAGGGTATGTTTCCTGTGAAAGGACCACCCTTCTCGGTGTGCTATCTTCCCCTGAAATGTGCTCCTGAAGTTAGATCACCGGACGAGTGGCCGTATATCAAAGTGAAGAGCGTAGTTAATCTCCAAAATAAAAACCCTTGTAAATATCAACCAGATGATTGCTCCCAGAAAGTTCTTTCCAGGATACAGCTGCACAAGACAAAGTCGATGCAAATACCGAAGAGAGATTTGATAAGACGATGGCAGAGGACCTGAAAAGACCAGTTCCTGCTGAGGACTTTTTCTCCATTTATTCAAGAAGCACGTGTAGTTATGTTTGTAGCCAGAAATGAAGACGGTGAAGCACCCAAGCAACCTGTGAGCCCACAAATGTGTGTCTGCAATTGTAAGTACCGCACTGGAAAAATATGCCAAGATGGGCAGCATGAGGGGCTTGATTTCAGTAGATTAGTCCTGCAAGCACAGACTGCCCTCAAAAAGAGCAAAGAACTGAGGCTATACCTGGACTATGATAGATTGCTAGTAAATGATAGGAAATTCATAAATACATAGATACGGTCATGCACTGTGTAAGGATGCTTCAGTCAATGCTAAATCGTGTATAAGACAGCAATGTTTCAACCAGATTACAAAAACGTATCTTTTCTGTGTTTACATATACAAATACTTACCATTGTGTTACAGTTGCCTACAGCATTTCTTACGGTAACATGCCGTCCAGGTTTGTAACCTAGGAGCCATAGGCCGTACCGTACAGCCAATGTGTGCGGTAGGCTATATCACCAGGTTTGCGTTAAGTCCTCTGTCATGTTCACAAAATGACTAAATCACCTAATGATGCATTTCTCAGAATGGGTCCCTGTCATTAAGTGATGCATGACTGTATTTTGCAAGTCATACACTCTCTGTTACTTTCACCACTCGTCATTTCATCTTAACAACACCAGAGGGAGAGGCGGAAGCCAAATTCACACCAACGTAAATATCCAGGCATCTTTTCTTACTCTCCCCACACAGTAGCCCCACGATAGATAAAACTGTTAAAACCATCCATGGTTGTTAACAACAACTATTCTACAATGGAACATGTTTTTGTTTTAATGGTCACATTGAGAGTGACTTCATCTCCTCCCCTCCCTTCCTCACTCTGATCCTTGAATGCCAAGCCCATCTCCCCCAGGACCAGTGCACATGCTGTTTCCTCTTGCACATGAGCACTCTCCAGGCATCTGCGAAACTCCCTCCTTCAGTTCCTCAGGTGCTGTACAAATCTCTCCTACTAGAGGCTTTCCCCAGTCACTCAGTAAAATCATACCCGCTCCTGCCCCTTGCGACACTTCCTCTTTCTCTTTACTTATTTTACTATTCTCCAAATATGTGTTACCACTTGACAGGCTATATATATTTTTGTTTGCTTGTTTGCTATTGTTCTTACCTCCTAAAATGCAAGCTCCATGAGGGATGTCTTTCCGTTCAGTGCTGGATTTCCAGTTCCTGGGCACTTTCTTCCACATGGCAGATTCTCAGTAATTCTGTGCTGAATAATTGAATAAAGTATTTAATTCTAATGTAATTAAAACTCCACTAAACTTCATGTTTTCTATCCTCCTCCACAAACTAGCAATGTGGTCATCTTTCTAAAGCACAGATAAGATCAGGTTTCTCAATCCCCTGCACTGGTAATGTCAAAAGCAAACAGGGACATGAGTAACTTAGGAGGCTCCCCTAGGAAGACAGAGTTTCAATTCCTTAACCTAATTTGCAAGACTTTTAATGAATTTTTAATGATCTGTCTTTTCGGTGTATCTCCAGATTGATTTCCCACTATTTAATTATCACGTGTTAAAAGCATGGATTTTGGAACTTAATTTATTGGGTTCAAACATTGTCCTCATCACTTATTACCTGTGTGTTTATAAAATTTCTGCAGTTTTGTTTTCTCAGCGGTAAAATGAGGATGATAATAGTATCCATCTTGCAATTTGTGTTTTGAGAAACAAGTGTGTTAAAATATGTAAAGTACTTAAGGAAAAAAAAACCTACTAAATACATACCTAGACAGTGATCTAGCAGGTCAATTCCTAGGGATTTACCAAAGAGAAATGAAAATATCAATTTACGAAGAGACTTGGACACATTTTCATAGCAGCTTTATCCATGATAGCCCCCAAATTGGAAAGAGCCCACATGTCCATGAATGGGAGAACAGATTTAAAAATCTGTAGTGATGCTGGCAAGGCTGTGGAGAAACAGGAATGCTTCTACACTGTTGCTAGGAATGTAAATTAGTTCAACCATTGTGCAAGACAGTGTGGCGATTCCTCAAAGACCTAGAGGCAGAATACCATTTGACCCAGCAATCCCATTACTGGGTATATATTCAAAGGGATATAAATCTTCCTATCATAGAGATACATGCATGCGTATTTTCATTGTGGCACTGTTCACAATAGCCGAGACATGGAATCAGCCCAAATGCCCATCAATGATAGAATAGATAAAGTACTAAATAAATAATGTACTAAAATGTAGTACATATACACCATGGAATACTGTGCACCCATAGAAAGCAATGAGATCATGTTTCTTGCAGGGACATGGATGAAGCTGGAAGCCATTGTCCTCAGCAAACTAACACAAGAACAGAAAACCAAACAACACATGTTCTCACTTATAAGTGGGAGCTGAACAATGAGAACACGTGGACACAGCGAGGGGAACAACACACACTGGGGTCTGTTCAGGGTTGGAGGGAGGGAGAGCATCATGATAAATAGCTAATGCATGCTGGGCTTAATACCTAGGTGATGGGTTGATAGGTGCAGCAAACCACCATGGCACATGTTTACCTATGTAACAAACCTGCACGTTCTGCACATGTATCCTGGAACTTAAAATTAAATTAAATTAAAATTTGAAAATAATAATAAAAATAAAAATCTGTAGTATAGTCATACAATGGAATACTACTGAGCAATAAAAAGGAATGAACTATTGATACAGGCAACGACAGGGATAAATCTCAAAGACCTCATGCCCAGTGAAAGAAGCACTGCACAAAAGCAAACAGTGTATTGATAGAAGATTCTGGAGGAGAAAAAAATAATCATGGGAGAGGAAGAAAATCAGAGGAGTGCTTGCCCCTTAGAAAGTGGATTGAAGACTCACTGAGAAAGGCTTGAGGAACTTTCTGGGGTGGTGTTAAGTTTCTGTATCCTGGTAGAGCATTGGGTTAGAAAAGTGAGATTGTGCTGAAATTTAGAGAGTGTACACTTTCAATTTGTGCAATTCATTTCACCTAAGTTTTACAGGAAAAGAATACAAGTAAATGCAAAATTTTAATTTGTGATAGGCATACTTCAATATTTAGTAGGAATTTTAATGATGTCTGCAATTTACGTTCAAATGCACTGAAAACAAATGATAATTAATTTCTGGATAGAAGGTTGGAAGAATGGATAGACATGAAAAAGTTTAGTTAAATGTTAATGGTACCATGGAAGTGGTGAGTATATGGATTCTCACCTAAAAATTCCTTTAACTTTGCTGTATCTGAAAATTTTCATAATAAAAATTGGGAAAAATAAAAAAGGAGTGTAGCAAAAATATTAATTTAGGTTATCATGTAAAATGATTCCACATTTACAATTGCCCATAAAAGTAAACCCGAGCCTCTTTCTTTTAGATCTTTGAGACTCAGTATTACATATTGCCTGACAATTATTGATATATTTATCCTACACTAGCATTAACCATATCTTTCTTCATTGACTATTTTTATAGAACAAAAGTTAAATGAGCCCAGTGTTTTGCAATTAATTTTTATAGCATCATTGATTAGATTTCCCCAAATAATTTATTTCTCACTTCATACCCTAGAAGGTAATTCCATTTAATATTGTGGTGTAACATTTTAAACCAGACTGCCTCAGTGTGCCATTGAAAGATTTACATAGGTCTGAAGCAAGAGCTATTTCTGCCTAATGATCTGTATGTAAAAGCAACAGAAATATAGAAGGTAGGAATAATCAATCTATAAAATGTTATATATCTCCTAAGAGTTGTCTAAGTAATCAAAGATTTCCTGGTGTGGGTCATAATACATTGCAGTGACTCCAGTTAACTAAACACTTAAAATATATGTTTCTCTGGAATTTAACATTACCTCTGCACTGCTGGGATAGTAAACCATTTTGTGTGGCCCATTCAAATATACAACCTAATTATCTAATTCAGTCAGTAAATAAAATAAAGCTTTTTTTTATTTTTATTTTTATTTTGCAGGCTGCAGGGCACCAGCTAAACTCTCTGGGAAGTTGCAGGAGGCACAGATACAGCCTTAACCTTGAACAGTCTTCCATCAGAGACATTTCAAGGTGGAGTGTGAAAACAAAGAGAAAGGCTCTGCTCTAACAGAACTTTCTGCCCAGCCATAACACAAAGATACCATGAAAAAAATAACAAAATACTGTCATAAGAAAATGTAACACAAATAAAGATACAGTACTCCAAAGTACCCAGGATACCAATTATAACTTACCAATATAACTTCAGGTTGTTAATAAATACTTCATAGGTCTATAATTTCATAGTAATAGTTTAATATTGAATTTAGAGGAAAAAAGAAAAAATATGTTTTTAAATCCTATACTCAGTAATGGCTAACATTTATTGACCAATTATTTTATTTTATAACATTTTATATAACTCATAAAACAATGCTTATATAAAAATTCACACAAAGTGACTAGAAAACATACAATTTCCAAAAATGTTCTGGGTTTTTGTTACATCCAGTTTTCCAAAAATGCACTCAAATTAATGGTAAAATGCAGACATTATGTGATAGTTCATTCTTTGGTAAAACTATTCTTATTATTTTGTCTCCTCAAAAGATAAACTCTGACATCTCCTTTGTGTAGGAGCTGCTATTAACATCACCAGGAGAAAATTGTTAAAGCTGGATCTGGGAGAGGCAAGTATTTCCACATAGCAATAATAGCTCCTTAGTCCCCACCCTCACTTCAGTACTTCCACCTGGTCCATCTACACTGCCAGGTGGGGTAAGAGCTCAGTGACCTCCAAGTAGGAGGCTAGAGACCCCCTCTCCACCAAGCAAGTTGCAAACGTTTGGGGGAAAGCTGGGAATGGAGGATGTCTCTGCAGGAACCCAAGTCACCCTACTGTGGTGTGGTCAGGCCAGTGACTCTCACCATGTAGGCGGCCAATTGTTCACCACTGAGTAGATGCCAGTGGCTGGTGGATGGCTGCTGCTGGTATGATGTCCCCTCCCCATAAATTTAAACTTAAAAGACCATCTTTGATGGTCACAAGCTGTGTGACCTCTGCTCAGCCACCTTGTTCTGATCATTTCCCAAGTGAGAGCCATGACTCATATTTCAACCTCTATGATCTTTATATCCACCACTAAGGATCCTTCTGACTACCACCCTTGCATTATGAAAACTGGGCTAGAATTCCTCTTGATTCCAACTTAAAAGCTTCATATGCTGTCTATGACACATTTCTATGTACTAAATAAATAAACAGATTTCAAAACAATCTGTGCTATAGCATCGTGTAACCATCTAAGCCATAAAGTTCTATATTCAATAATTTAACAAAAATAGCTCAATTTTATCTTCAAAAATTTTCTGAATAGAGACACAAAGCAAATACATCTTTAAAACCTTTGGAAAAGAATCACATAAAAATAATTATAATCTATAATTCAGAGCTTTGTTTTTCACAAAGGTAATAAATTAAACATTCTCCTTTGAGATTTCTTTACTGTGCAAAATGAGACCGATTAGGTCAAACTGTTCTTTTTACCACTTTTTGACATGCTAGTCAGAGATATTAACATTTCCAAAGAGAAGTGGAAAATATACCAGAGTTTGAAGAAGAATTTGGGATAATTAACCTAAAAGTAGATGTTGATTATATTCTTTCCCCTTCCTTGATTATATTGTTTATCCTTCCCCGATTCCTATGAAATTTTCTCCTATAAAGCAATGGTGAGTTGAAAGAAAGGACAGCAATATGTATTCACAAATATTTTCTTTAAATTCAGTCTAATCATCCCACCAAAGACAGAAATGGCAGGCTAGCAAAAAGCCAACATGCTCTCAGGAATGGGGCCTCCATGTGTTTCCTCTCCTCTCCTCTCCTCTGCAACACGACTTCAGCCTCTGCACTAAGCATAAACCTGCCCTATTTCATCCTAGATCCTTCTGTGGTCACAGAGGAGTCAGAACTGGGCAGACTCTTCCTTTCGTGCCTGAATCCTCCTGGCCCTTCCAAGTGTCTTTCTAATTTCAGTCCTTCAACATATTCTGCTCCTTTCTTCCTTCCTTTCTTCTGCTTGCTTGTTTGCTTTCTCTCTCTCTCTCCTTTCTCTCTCTCTTCTTTTTCTTTCCTTCCTTCCTTCCTCTTTCCTTCCTTCCTTCTTTTCTTTTTCTTTCTGTCCTTCCTTCCTCTCTCTTTCCCTTCCTTCCTCTCTCTCTTTCCCTCCCTCCCCCCCCTTTCTTTCTTTCTTTCTTCCCTTTCCTTCCTTCCTTCTTTCCTTTCTTTCTTTCTCTCCTTTCCTTCTTTCTCTTTCCTTCCTTCCTTCCTTCCTCCCTCCCTCCCTCTCTCTCTTTCTCTCTCTCTCTCTCTCTGTCTTTCCTTTCTTTCTTCTTTCTTTCTTTCTTTCTTTTCCCTCTCTCTCTCTCTCTCTTTCTCTCTTTCTCTCTCTCCTTTCTCTCTCTTTTCTTTTTCTTTCCTTCCTTCCTTCCTTTCCTTCCTTCCTTCCTTTCTCTTTTTCTTTTTCTTTCTGTCCTTCCTTCCTCTCTCTCTTTCCCTTCCTTCCTCTCTTTCCCTCCCTCCCTCCCTCTTTCTTTCTTTCTTCCCTTTCTTTCTTTCCTTCCTTCCTTCCTTTCCTTCCTTTCTTTCTCTTTCTTTCTTTCTCTCCTTCTTTCCTTCTTTCTTTTTCTTTCCTTCCTTCCTTCCTTCCTTTCTTTCTTTCTGACGGAGTCTTGTTTTATCACCCAGGCTGGAGTGCAGTGGCATGATCTCAGCTCACTGCAACTTCCACCTTCTG